AGTGGAGGATTTGAAAAAAAACTGAAGCAGAGTAACCAACCTGGAAAGCACCACCTGGCCGACCGTAACTGGCCACAGAGCCCGGAAGCAAAGGATTATTGGGATTATTGCCACGATAATTCCCACGGTAGTTGCCACCACCTGTGGCACGGCCACTGCCACGATTCCCTCGGTATCCACCACCACTTCCTGCAGAAGATCCAAAATAGTGTTGCGTGATATGATACGGAGCTTCTGGCAAGCTAGGACGACGCGGATCACGTAGGTAATTGTTGAAGAATATGGCATTATCCTTTTTTGCTGCCTCGACCTTCTCCATGTGTTTGTTGAAAATGTGTTTCCGCACAAATATTGGCTCCCGGAACTTCTTATCGGATAGCGGACAAACCCAAACAACCTTGAACCTGCGCAAGAAAGAAACGAATGAGATGTTGATCCATACATGTAGCTGAGGCAGTTTATTTTGAATATTCGCCGCAGGTGTGAAAAGCTAGGCGAGGAACCAGCTAATAAGCAGCTACAATGCTCACTTTTCCTTGGACACCTGTGGCCTCAGCGAAACATTAAATAAGAACCTCACTTCTGTTATAATGAATCGTAGTTGAGAAATAACCTATCAAGTGGAGTGCGAAGCAGCTAACTGTTCTACCTTACGTGCCACCGAATAAAAAGTATTCCCCATTGTTCCAGCTGACCAGTTCCGAAATAAACCTTGCAGTGAACAGCAACAAATAAGCAAAAAATGTGGATTACAAACTTAATAGTCATGAGCAGCCAGAGTAGCATACGATTCAAACACATGTTTGCTCAACACCAAGCTATTTACGTTCGTCGCAACCAATTTGAGAACATGGCTGACTAAGGGCGTCGTCGATAACTGAGTCCACTTGAAGACAGCGCTACATAGCTCAAAACACGGAGCCGCTTCCATCCAATGAAAGCGACTGCGCACGGTACCGTCTGTAGTGAGCCATATTGCTTTATTTATATTAATCGAAAGCTAGGAATTTTTCTGCTGTGTCAAGCCCGATATAGTGCAAGCTGCAGCGGGAAAGGTTTTTGGCTTCAAGACTGCTACTGTCGAGGCTTGAGCGACCTAGTTCCAATGCCTTCGCCGTGATGACTGGTCAATGATGGGGAAATCGCTCGGAGTCAACCTTTCTTCGGCATCCAACGTAACATATACAGAGCATTCGTAACCTACGGTTTTTTCTTCCCCGTCCTCTTCTGTATATTGGCCTCAACAAACTCCTCAGCCGCCTTCTCTGGATCTCGCATTCCAAGCTTCTTCATCTCCTCTTCAGTGAGGTCTTTGGGGACGTCAATAATCCCACGCAACTTGAGCCCGAAATTCTGATGAGGGATGAACAACAGTACATAATTTAGGAAACCACCAACACCATAAGGGAAAATGTAACGGCTTTCTAGAAAAACAGTACATGAAAATCGTCAAAAAGTAATGCCAGAGTGAAATACTGTGAGCAGGGCACCACAAACGTGACACGAACTGCGCGAGGGACCCTATGAGAAAAGATGACACACTTATCGCTTATGAGTCACCAGACACCACCATTTAGAGAAACGATCCGAGTACTGATTCAATTAACAATAGAACACATCAACTTCTGACATTACAAGACAGGAAACTTACACGTATATGCTCAGAAATTTCCCTCTGGTTGAAAACCAATCCAGCCGAGCGTCCACCCGGAAGTGTGGGATTTAAACCTCTATCTCCGCGAGCATGTAGTATGCCACATCGATGGGGCATCGAGTCCTCCATGGGGTAAATGGCACCAGCATAGAAGTCCACGGAGTGCACAACACGCAAATACAGGATAAGGTAGTCTAGAGCCTTCGCCAAAACGGGGTCGTATTCAAGGACTACAGGAATAGGACGCCCGTTATGACCTCCATCGACACCTTCCTCCGATTCGTTCTGATTCGATTCAGCTGGAATGAAAACACTCGACGGAATCAGATCGCTTACAGGCTCGTCACCATGTTTGTGGTTAGAGTAGAACTAGTAAATTGACGTGAAGTAAACGAGTTGCACTACAAGACGCTGACACGTAATTTGAGCGTTGCATGGTGGAGTTTGGATCACCAATGCAAAAACTAAGATCCATCAGTTCAGCTTATCATCTGTCAACCATGTAATAAGAATGCGTTGTTTCCAGCTATGCACCAGAGTCGATCGGCTACTTCGAGAAAAAAGGGCCATTACGCGTTGAAGGTAGTAGTACTGGTGCAGGAGTGGCACTGAGTACGTGATTGAGCTACTGTTGATCTACTTCTGAATACTTGCCAAATTGTACTCTGTAAACAACTGTATAATCGATACAACCGATGTGAATTCACAAACCGGCCGGGTAAACTTTGCAGTATGTTTCAGCCCGAAAACACGAAGCTGACCACGAAGCACCTTTCACTATTATGCTGCTTAATGCAGAATTAGGCTAACCCGCTATCAGTGAAGCTATGCTGATCAATCGATACCACCCACAGCAAATGCCCGCCTACTCTTGTTGTATCGGTTAAGTAATCAATCACGCAGTTTTTACTTACCCAGCAATGCTTCTTCTTCACTACCACCTTCTTCAACGAGGTAGTCAGTCAGATTCTTCAACAACGGATTCTTGCTGCGAATCGCCAAACCTAGCAGAGCAGGCATGTTTTTAGACTTTGATTCGATTGCACCAGAGGCTTCAGTAGCTTGTCGTTCAACATCCGCGTCATCATCTTCAGACTGCCAGAGACCATGGGCAGCATCCAGACGTGCCACCAGCTGCGAGGCAAGCATCAAGTCATGACGCATTACGGGTTTGTGTCGAGTAAGAGGGGTTAGGGGACGAACACGCTGAGCCAAATCCCGATTCACGGTAGCCCCTAATTCGCCATTGGGTAAAGTGACCTTCTCACGCAGGAGTGGGCTAGTATTCAGAGCCCAACATATTTTCTTGATATTCACAGTTGGCTTGTAAGTGGCCCACGCATGGCGCATGAATCGTCTTTCCGGCACAGGATCCCACATAGCCAACCGCAGAAAACCCGGTTGTGAGGCACACAGCTGATAACGGAATAGTAAAATCGGTGAAATTTGGGACCGATAGCATAAAATGGGAAAAATAGAGGGAAGACCGTAGTTACTTACTTCCTTGAGCTCCGCTTCAGTAACACTTGGAGGAAGAGCGCGAAAAAATATCGACGCAGTTTTATGAAGAGGCCACGACTTCTTCGGACTTGTTGAAGTGACAACCTCGGGCTGTTGTTGAGTGGTTTTCGTATCCGCAGAGGCTAATGATCCGGGTGATTCAGGTAATGGCTTTTCGCCAGTTGACCCCAGTAAAACAGAGGAGACAGAATCCAGGCCCTCAGTAAGCAAATGATCTCCTGGGTTTTCAGCCGTCGTAGGGGTTGGTACGTCATTGTCATCTTCCTCGGTATTGGGAAACGCGCTGTCAGAACCATTTTCCTGAAGGTCATGTGATCCGGCATCTAAGAGAAAATTATATCACAAAGTAACTGAAAAATAATTTGCAAGGTGTGCTAATCCAGAATCTGTGGAAACTACCTTCGGCGCATGGTTTGGAAAAGACAGTAATACCGTATTGTAAGAAAGCAGGGCAATTTAAGAATTCATGATTTGAACGGTATTCTGAGGTTCAACAGCAGGAAGTCGGATTGAAACAGTATTGCACAAAAACGGTGTAATATGAGCTAGTCTAGTCAGAACAGAACTCCCCAGTCGACCCGTAGAGCAAAAAGAATCTGGTTCAAAGAGCTGAACTACTGGATGAAATGTCCGGCTACGCCGCAAAGAATCCCGCCGTCATTCATTGTTTACTTGATCACAGAACTTGTGTCTAAAGAGTTTGAATCGAGGTCGCCTGTATGGTAACCAGGATCTGCTTTTCCGACTCGCTTTCGCACCGAACAATGCCAATGGACCCCCGCGCGTAGGACAAATATCGCACGTCGTTTGTGCCCCGTCGCGTGTGGACTTGTCTATCATCATCATCATCATTGTCAGCTGTAATAACCGCGTAATCGTCGTACTGTGGTTGTAGTTGCCGCAGTTTCGTTCACCGATGGTTTGGGGGGGGAGGTAGCTGCGCGTTGCAGGCGGGAGCTGA